TGGGAGGAGGGTGCTGTTGTAGTCTGAACATTGACAGTATGCTGTATATTAGAGTCTGACTGCAGATTAATGAAACACTTTTAAATCGGAAGTTTAGCGATGGGAAGATGAATTCGGTGTACAACTGAAACACCTCTGAGCTCTATCTATCTGTTTATCTTGTCATCCTGTATGTCTTTCTGTATTAAACCCTTCTTCAGTATCAATGTTTTTCATCCTGGGACTCTTCAGTTGACAGCAGATATGTTATTATTGATTCTTTGAGTCTATTTGTTAAAGGTTGAACACAGTTTGGAGGTTCTGGGACATCTGGTTTTGGATGGTGTGTGTGTTTGGTTCATGGAGGTCCTGTTTGTCCAGAAAGTGACAGTGTTGCTGTGCAGCAGGGTCCGGTTTAGGCCGTGAAGGCAGCAACAAGTGGACGTGGCCTTTCAGATGGGACAGAATGAATTGCATGTCCTCCTCTCTGAATTTGTCATTTCCTCTCTGTAAGAAATGTGCTCTAGATATTCTTCCACTGCTAGCAGGTTTGGGTTGGAGGCTTTTGTATGGCTGCTTGGCTGTGCCGGATTCCACCGAGACAGAAACAACCAGCTTGCCGAGTGATGGAGGCGGGCTAATACTTAAAGTCCACGAAACTTTGGATTATTCATGGTAGGCACCGTCCGCCAGGGGGCTGTGTCTGGGAATGACACCCTAGTCTCTGATACATTCAACTCCTACTTACCTGGCAGGTGGGATGCCACTATCAAGAAGGTGGTTCACTCAGCATGAGATGCATTTGTTGCTCATCCTGCAGTGCTGACCCCTGGGAATTCCCAAAATGTGGAAGTCTTGACTGTATAATTTCTGCTAGTGGGTCCGTGTATGTTTTGGTCATTGGATTTTCCTTTCAGAAACGGGTATTAAAAAACAGAAAACGAGTGGTTATGTGGTTTTTGTTTTAAAACACAAAAATTAAAATAGAAATACAAAGCGTTTTTCTTTTTCATGGTCAGAAAGGGATGAGCGAAATTTTAAAATATTATTCGATTTTCATTTTCTATTTCATATAACAAAAAATAAAATCACTAGAAAACAGAAACAGAAAACGCCTTGTATTTCGATTTTTTATTTTTGTATTTTAAAAGGAAAATCAAATAACCACTCGTTTTCTGTTTTTTTAATACCCGTTTCTGAAAGGACAATCCAATGACCAATACATACACAGACCCAAAATAAACCCAGCTCAGCTCTGACTCTGTGTCCAGTATGAGATGCTTCACTATGCACAGTAAAATATAACTTGTAATTTCACTTAAGAGTTCTTTGAAAGAAATATTTTACTTTATTACTTTTGAAACCTCAGAATCACAGAGAAGCCTACTTGTGGCCCAGTGACAAAAGTTTTCCCTCTCAGTGTTTCTGTATTTTTTCCTGTAATGTGATCAGTAAGAAATCTGTCACATAAAGAAAAGATGGTAAACAGTTTGGAAAGCAGCAGAAAGTGAAATTACAGAGTAAACAGTGAGCTGAACATTGGAGTGTTTGTGGGATTGTAGAGGGACTGTAAAGGGAGCGTTGTAGAATATTGATCTAAAGATACAGTATGTTCCTGAATATCTTACACTGACCTCTTTTCTTATGTTGTCTGTTTGTTATTGTATGATCCTTTGGCTGCTGTAGACTCACATTGTAGGAAAAACCCATCTTGTTCCAAAGATATTTCCCAATCAGTCAATAACAGCTCACTCACAGATCTGCACTGAGAGGAGGAGCAACACTGAAAGAGCTTCAGTGACACATTTCCTGGAAATGAAAGTGAAAGTTTGACTGAAGACAGCAGAGCTGCAGTGGAGACAAGTCTCTCTGTTTGTCTCTGAAGACAAATTCAACTGAATCCATCAGGTTTTTCTCAACTAAACAGCAGAATCTCTGCCAACCTCTGGTGAGTCCACTGCCCTACAGAGCTTGTTACAGTCTGTTATAGCACATACAGATAGAAGGAAGGAGCTAAATCCAACCAAACAATGAAAACACACCACAGAAACTAGTCCTGCTGAAAGCTAACTAGCCTAGCTTAGCTTCCCTTTGGGTTGTGTAAAGGACAGAGTACAGCGTCTGATTTCATCTGAGAGTTTGTTGTATTTTTTTTTTTTTTTTTTTTTTTTTTTTTTTTTTTTTTTTTTTTTTTTATTTTTTTTTTTTTTTTTTATTTTATTTTATTTTTATTTTTTTTTTTTTTTTTATTATTTTTTATTTATTTTATTTTTTTTTTTTTGTAATTTTAATTTTAATAAAAAAAATAAATAAAAAAAAAAAAAAAAAAAAAAATATAAAATGGGCGGGGATTTGTTTTGCCTCCTTGGTTGGGATTTTGGGGGGGAACCCAGAAGTAGATCGGACAAGAGGTAGAGTGTAAACAGTTTATTAGACCAAATTAGTGACAAAAGGGGGAGCTGGCAGGCGAGAGTGGGAGTCCAGAGATGGGGGTGATCCAGACAGTGGCTGGCTGGCAGGCTTGGAGTGTGGGGATCCAGTGGCTGGCTTACAGGAGGCTTGGGCTGAGTGGACTGGGTTCCAGGGCTGAGTCCCAGGAATGATTCCTGAGGCAGAGAGACACGGTTAGTTACGGACAAAAACAGACGGCAAGAGATTGGCTCAGGCAGGCAGAAGCAGACAGGCAACTAACGGTAGCAACGATAAATAACTGGCTGGAAAGCAGTAGGATACTCAATACTTCACAACAATCTGGTGTTGACTGGATGTGTGGCTGCTCCTTAAGTACTGCTGAAGATTGATGAGGAGCAGGTGTGGTGATGACCTCAGCCAGGTGTGTGAGCAGCCAGAGATAGACACGCCCCCGAGCACTGCCAGAGTGACACAAACACCACAAGACAACACAAAACACCCGAACGGTCATCACGGCCGGGGATTCATGACATCCTGCTCAGTGTGTTTTTAAAGAAAAACTGATGTATTTTAAAATTGTAATCCTGCTAAACAATTACTATCTTTACGCAATGTAACAGTAACCTGGTGATTTATTTAGTAACTGTAATGGATTACAGTTACAGAGAGAACTTTGAAGTTTGTTTTATTTTCATCCTCACAGTGTAGATATGTCTGCTGCCAGCTGCCTGCTGACTGAAGATCAGTTTCTGTGCTCCATCTGTCTGGATGTGTTCACTGATCCAGTCACCATACCATGTGGACACAACTTCTGTAAAACCTGCATCACTGAACACTGGAATATTAATGTCCAGTGTCAGTGTCCCAACTGTAAAGAGGTTTTCTACACAAGACCTCAGCTGAAGGTCAATACTTTTATCTCTGAGATGGCTGCTCAGTTCAGACAGTCAGCTCAACAGAAAGCCAGCAGCAGCAGCTCAGAGCAACAAGTTTCCAAAACCAGGAGAAGTTCCCTGTGACGTCTGCACTGGAACCAAACTGAAGGCCCTGAAGTCCTGCCTGGTGTGTGTCTGGCCTCCTACTGTGAGACTCACCTGAGCCTCATCTGACAACGTCAGGCCTGAAAAGACATCAGCTGATCGACCCTGTGGAGAACCTGGAAGACAGGATGTGTACGAAGCCACGATAAACTGATGGAGCTGTTTTGTAAGACCGACCAGATGTGTGTCTGCATGCTCTGCACTGTTTTAGACCACAAGACACATGATGTTGTTCCTCTGAAAGAAGAATATGAAGGAAAGAAGACCGAGCTGGGGGAAGAGAGAGGCTGAAATTCAGCAGATGATCCAGAAGAGACGACTGAAGATTCAGGAGATCAAACGCTCAGTGGAGCTCAGCAAGGAAGGTGCAGACAGAGAGATAGCAGATGGTGTTCAGGTCTTCACTGCTCTGAAGGAGTCTGTTGAGAGAAGACAGGCCGAGCTCATCGACACGATCAAAGAGAAGCAGAGAAAGACAGAGAAACAGGCTGAAGACTTCATCAAAGAGCTGGAACAGGAAATCTCTGAGCTGAAGAAGAGAAGCTCTGAGGTGGGACCAGCTCTCACAGTCTGAAGACCACCTCCACCTCCTCCAAAGCTTCCTGTCTCTGAACGCTGCTCCACCCCACCAAGGACTGGACAGAAGCCAGCGTCCGTCCACCTTCATATGAGGGGACTGTGAGGAGAGCTGTGAATCAGCTGGAGAAGACGCTCAGTAAACAGATGAAGAAGCTGCTCGCTGAGGTGGAGCTGAAGAGGGTCCAGCAGTATGCAGTGGATGTGACACTCGATCCTGATACAGCAAATCCCTACCTCATCCTGTCTGATGATGGAAAACAAGTTAAACTTGGTGATGTAAAGAAGAATCTCCCAGACAATCCACAGAGATTTGATACTGTTGCTTGTGTCTTAGCAAAGCAGAGTTTCTCTTCAGGAAGATTTTATTACGAGGTTCAGGTTAAAGGGAAGACTGAATGGGATTTAGGAGTGGCCAGAGAGTCGATCAACAGGAAGAGAAAAATCACACTGAGCCCTCAGGATGGTTACTGGACGATATGGTTACGGAATGAAAATGAGTACCAAGCTGCTGCTAGCCCTTCAGTGTCTCTCTCTGCAGTCTGAGCCTGAGAAGGTGGGGGTGTTTGTGGATTATGAGGGAGGGTCTGGTCTCCTTTTATGATGTTGATGCTGCAGCTCTATCTACTCTTTTACTGGCTGCTCCCTTCACTGAGAAACTCTACCCATACTTTGGTCCCAGTATTAATTATGGTGGTAAAACTCTGCCCCTCTGATCATCTCTCCTGTCAATCACACTGAGTAGAACAACCATTTGATTTTCTTCAGAAAGATTCACATCATTTAATGGAATAAATGTATATTTATTGGTGATGTACGGAATATATATTTTTTTCCTTTTATTATGTAAATGTATTGATATCATATTGTGAGCCTCATTTATTCTAATAACTGCATTATCTGCCTCAAAACTGTAAAATCATCAGAAAACAATATACTCTGGAATAAGAAGCATTTACACATTCTTTAAATGTCTGAGTGACAAATTCAAACCTTTATATTGTCTGATCATTGTTTATATAAGAATACTGTATACTACATACTGACATAAATTACTGAAGAGCCTTTTATAAAATGACACAAAAGTCTTTTGTTTTTCTCTTTTTCTTTTTAAATAAACAAAAGAAAAATAACCTTTTATTGTGTCTGTTCATTCTGCACTGCTGAAATATTGTGATTGTAGTGATTGATTACATTACAGTTTGTAAAATTTAAATTCACATGATTAAGATAAAAACTAATTTAGAAATTATAAACCAGAAGTCTCCATCGTCTCTATCTTTTAGAAGGTGGCTCTGGATCTACTCCTTTACTGGCTGCTCCCTCACTGAGAAACTCTATCCATACTTTAGTCCCAGTCTGAATGATAGTGGTATACTACTACAACACACCAGTTTTACTGCACTGATTGATATTATCTAATGTAGTCTCATTTATTCTAATAACTGCATTAGCTGCCTCCAAGACTGTTCAATCAGTAACAGACAATGCTAATAAATAAGAAGCATTTGGATGTTCCTTAAATGTCTGGGTACCACATTCAAAACCTTTTACTATCTGTGTTGGCTATGTTTTTTGGATGTTTTTTTGGACTACATTAAAGAGGGAAATATTGTACTTTTTTACTCCACTACATCTGTCTAACAGCTGGATTTGTTGGTTACTTTGCAGATTCACATTTTACATTCAACAGGAAACAAGGATGGTATCTATGTGATATCTTCATGTGAACTTCTTTCATTTTATGTGGAATGAGGAATTTATTAGAGTCTGACCAAATTTGTTGTTCAGGGTGTTTAGTTTCCATAAAAGAGTTGATTTGGGGAGAATTACTGTGATCTGAGCTCAGAATTTTAATAAAACAACCCAACAGTGACAGTGGTGTCGATCTCAGTTGTTAAAGTTATAAATCATCAAGCCTGAGGACAAATATAACATAACCAACAGAATAGATAAAGGAATGAGGAACGTTTCCACCTACGGGAGAGAGTTAGTCACCATAACCTGTGTTTCACATAAATGGTCCCGCCATCGATTTCAGAGGCTACTATTGGCTCATGTACAAATGGAACAGGCCAATGGGGGTTGTCTTGACCCGCCTCCCATTGGTCTGTTTCATTTAGGTGCTGTGCTGTGATTGGACAGCTCGCCGCATGACCTGCCCACCACACAGCCACGTTCAGTGTCATTATCATTGTAATAACATTATAAGGTAAGACCAACTTTATTGTTTGTAAAAGTGCTACAGCCAAAAGGTAGCTTATATATTAGACAATAATCAGTTAGCAGTGAAACAGCGAGCCAATGTAACGTTAGTGTGGCAGAGTTAAGCCTCAATGTCATTCCTGATCGGTGAAATGTGTTTGAAATAATATTCCCACTACTGGGTTCACTTGTTGAGACCTAGGATATTGTACTGCTACTGTGTGGAGTTAAAGTTGGATAACTGATAACAACAGGAATAAGAGGTCTGGCTGTTGTACTGTGAGTCCTGTACCTACTTTCTTTCCTATTTTCTGCCTTTATTTTCACTCCAACTGTCAGCTGCAGTTCCATAAAGTCACCAGCAGGTGTCAGCCTATGAGCAGTGTATGGGAGGAGGGTGCTGTTGTAGTCTGAACATTGACAGTATGCTGTATATTAGAGTCTGACTGCAGATTAATACAACACTTTTAAATGCACAGTGAATTGCCGGAACCTCTTGGCTGTATAATATATGCTGGTGGTGGTACTGTGTTGGTGTTTCTCCCTTCATTGTTATGTTGGAGAAAAAAATTAAAAACTTCCCAACTCAGCTCTGGACTCTGTGTCCAGTATGAGATGCTACAATATGAACAGTAAAACTAACAAAGAAATCATGCATGGAAATAAAGTGATCATTATTAACTTGCTTTTCTTAGACACACTGTTGGTTTTCCAGCAGTATAAAATAATTAAGGCCTACTACTCTCTCTGGAGTGAGGGAGATTTTTATAAATGAACAATTTTAATTTCACATAAGAATTAATTGAAAGAAATATTTTACTTTACTACTTTGAAACCTCAGGAATCACAGAGAAGCCTACTTTAGGCCCTAAGACAAAAGTTTTCCCTCTCAGTGTTTCTGTATTTTTTCCTGTAATGTGATCAGTAAGAAATCTGTCACATAAAGAAAAGATGGTAAACAGTTTGGAAAGCAGCAGAAAGTGAAATTACAGAGTAAACAGTGAGCTGAACATTGGAGTGTTTGTGGGATTGTAGAGGGACTGTAAAGGGAGCGTATAGAATATTGATCTAAAGATACAGTATGTTCCTGAATATCTTACACTGACCTCTTTCTTATGTTGTCTGTTTGTTATTGTATGATCCTTTGGCTGCTGTATACTTACATTTAGAAAAAAGGGAAATTGTCTCATCTCTGGCCCAAAGGGTATATCAAGATATTTCCAAATCAGTCAATAACAGCTCACTCACAGATCTGCACTGAGAGGAGGAGCAACACTGAAAGAGCTTCAGCACACACATTTCCTGGAAATGAAAGTGAAAGTTTGTCTGAAGACAGCAGAGCTGCAGTGGAGCAAGTCTCTCTGTTTGTCTCTGAAGACAAATTCAACTGAATCCATCAGGTTTTTCTCTCAACTAAACAGCAGAATCTCTGCCAACCTCTGGTGAGTCCACTGCCCTACAGAGCTAGTTACAGCCTGTTATAGCACATACAGACAGAAGGAAGGAGCTAAATCTAACCAAACAATGAAAACACACCACAGAAACTAGTCCTGCTAAAAGCTAACTAGCCTAGCTTAGCTTCCCTTTGGGTTGTGTAAAGGACAGAGTACAGCGTCTGATTTCATCTGAGAGTTTGTTGTATTGCTTACAAAGGTATAACATTGTACTTTTACAACTTATATAACTGTTACACACTTTGATAATCAGATACAATTATTAATTACCAATTATAAAATGTAGTCACTAACTTAAATCCAAGTTTCACCATATTAAAGTAAGACAACTTTATTACCTCCCATTAGTTTTGGATTACCTCATCATTAAATATGTAAATAAAAGTAAAGAAAAGACATATCAATCAGAACTGAGATCAGTTGTGTCTCCTGCTCAGAGTATTTGAAAGCAAAACTGATGTATTTTAAAATTGTAATCCTTGTAAACAATTACTATTTTTACTCTATGTAACAGTAACCTGATGATTTATTTTTAAATGCAATGGATTCTAGTTACTTAATGGTGTGAAGTGACAGTAATGGAGGAATCACAGGCTTACATACGTTGTCATTGTTTTATTTTTATTTCTTTCTTTATTTTTTCACTGCTTTTTTGAATAACTAGCCAGGAGGTACTAGCAAATGTCTTATAAGTAACTGGCAGCAGGCTGAAATTGCTCAGAAGGTGAGTTTAAAGGTCCAGTGTGTAACATTAAACACTGGCTTTAGATAGGTCCTTTCACACAGTTACGTGGCCACTGTAACTCTTTGTCACTCCCAGGTCATCAAATACAGTTGCTAGGTGTGTTCATTTAGTTACAATCTGTAACTTCACTGCTAGATGCCACTAAATCCTACAAACTGGTCTCACCTGTGAGTTTAGTTTATTAACATCCTCCACTGGGCTACTCTTCTCTCGCCTTCTCCACCTTCGGGGGTGTCCTCTGTATATGTTGTGTATTTGATTTGTCTTTTCTGTATTTGTTTGAGCAAGCACTCAGGACAATAATTGTATCCATGGCAGCCAAAAATGTTTTTGGACTTAAGATCAATGTTATCACTTATTTTCTGAGCTTGGTGAACTCAATTTGTTCTAACTGCAGTTTGAAGATACTTTTAAAATAAAATAAAAATCGAAAATACTTGAAATAAATAGGATTTTTACTCTCCCACTCTCTAACTCTACACCCTCAACATGAAATTTAATGATTAGAATTAATGATGAAATCATTTTTGTATTATTGTGTGACTTTATTTCCAAATTAGACAAAATAATCCTTTTGGGTTAAAATGGACCTTCGAGTCATGTCCCCATGAAGGTTTTCACTCAGTCCTGGTATCCTGACCTCTTGGTAATTTAGGACATTTCACAGGTCACATGATAAAAAAGAAGTAACGGCCAGTTTAGTCTACTGAAGGTCATGGGACGAAAGGAAAAGTAACTTCTCTCAATGAATTTTACTAAAAAGATGCAAAAAATATTCTCCCGGTTCCTGAAAAATGCAAAATCATGTGTAATATGTGCTATTAGGATTGTTGAAAAACTATAAAAAAATGAATTGGCACACAGATTTGGTGGAATGGCTTACATGCAGACTGTGAACACAAATTAATCAAAACCCAGCTCATATTTAATATTTTGGTCTGGTTGGTTGTGGCAGACAACAGAACTCAGGATGACTCTCCTTTTATTCCATTAATCATAGTTGATTTTATTATACTCAAAAAGAAATGTAATTACAGTTTTCTTTTCTTTGTATCCTCACAGTGTAGATAAGTCTGCCAGCTGTCTGCTGACTGAAGATAGTTTCTGTGCTCCATCTGTCTGGATGTGTTCACTGATCCAGTCGTCATACCATGTGGACACAACTTCTTAAACTCTGCACTGAACACTGGAATATTAATGTCCAAAGGTGTCCTGAACTTGAGAAGAAATAGGGAACACAAGACCTCAGCTGAAGGTCAATACTTTCATCTCTGAGATGGCTGCTCAGTTCAGACAGTCACCCCAACAGAGGGCCAGCAGCAGCAGGTCAGAGCAACAAGTTTCCAAACCAGGAGAGAAGTTCTCAGGGACGTCTGGCACTGGAACCAAACTGAAGGCCCTGAAGTCCTGCCTGGTGTGTCTGGTCTCCTACTGCGAGACTCACCTGGAGCCTCATCTGACAATGTCAGGCCTGAAAAGACATCAGCTGATCGACCCTGTGGAGAACCTGAAGACAGGATGTGTACGAAGCACTATTAAACTCGTGGAGCTGTTCTGTAAGACCGACCAGATGTGTGTCTGCGTGTTCTGCACCTATTCGAGACCACAAGACACATGATGTTGTTCCTCTGGAAAGAAGAATATGAAGGAAAGAAGGCCGAGCTGGGGAAG